ATTAGAGCAGTGGTTAGCTCGGCAGCTTCTCCTTCAGCCTTACTCTGCAGTTCACCCTCACTGCCCCGGGGTGCACACAGCTAGGGAGACACTGGCTATAATGGCCCTACCCCTGGCTTCTTGAGGTTCCCAGTCGAGTGGATGAGACAAACCAGTCCTCAGACAGTGGCAGCCTATCATACTCCCCATCCCAACTCTGGGGAAGGTGACACTACCACGTATATGCTAGGAGGGGAACTGGGACCAGTGTCCTCGCTGTGTTCTTATTCAGCCATTCTTTCATGCCGCAGCAGCAGCAGGGATAGTAGCAGCAACAGCCTATGAGAGGACCGTGGCCATCCCTAGTCTACATACCTTACTTGTGTCCTAACAGGTCGGGACTGTCACAGCCTGTGGATTACAGATAGAACACTGAGGTCCAGAGCGGTTAGATGGCTTGTCCAGGGACTCCCCACTGGAATGACCGAGCTAGCACCTGGGTCTGGGCAGTCTGCTCTTGGGCCCACAGAGCCCCTGTACTGGGACAACCCTGTGCTGGGCAGTGACCAAAAGAGATAGAGCCTGTGCTAGTGGGGCTGTCCTTCTAGCAGGAAGATGTCTATAGAAGGACCACTAAGACAGAAAGGGAAGGATAATTGTAATAGACAATTCAAGGAGACGTAGGCTACCCTGGCCACTTAAAGAAAGAGGAAGGGGCCGAGCTTTGGTGATGCACACCTTTAATCCTAACAGAGGTAGAGGCAGGCTGATCTCCGTGAGTTCGAGGCTAGCCTGATAATAGAAAGTGAGTTCCAGGACACAGAGAATCCCTGTCTCCAAAAACAAAACAAAACAAACAAAAAAGTAAGCTGGCAGTTCTGAGCAGAAGACACTGTGGATACAGAGCTGTGACAAGCGTTGATGTATCTAATTTGGATGGAGGACGGCAAAGGGCGGGGACAGGTGTGAGGTGCAGGCCTTAGCAGGTAGGAGTCGTGTGGGTAGCTCACTTCACACTCCCTCCTCATGGCAGCCTCTCTGCTCTTAGGTCTGGTCATTGTCAACAGTTGTCTCTGTCCCTGCTATTGTCCCGTAGACCCCTTAGGTATTACCTGTGGAGTGGAGGAGACCTTGGGCAGGGCGGAGCTAGGCCCACTGAGAAGCTGGAGACTGATGGGGTGCTAGAATCCCTTCTTGCTGAGACAGACCTGGCGCTGGAGGTCTGTGAGCAGCTGATTTCACCTTTGTGAGCCTCAGTTTCCTTGTTTAGGGAAGAGGATTCCCTACTCTTCCAGGTCTGTTTGGGGACCCATGGTGACCATGGTGTGCCTGACATATGCCTGCTCCAGCTCCAGCTGTGTGAGCCACCAGTGCAGCAGACCATAGCTGTAGACAGGGTGGCAGTACCGTGCTCGGGTGGTCAGCACTCGGGAGTGATAGATAGACTGAGGCCAGTGGGCCCAACCAGATGCTAAGGTAAGCTGTGCCAAGCAAGTGAGGCCTGTAGAGTTCACATCCCATGCCCTGGCACCATCTTGCCATCTTGGTCTTTAGAGTGAGCATAACATACCCACTCTGCCCACTCAACAGCCCCCAGGGGTCCTGTCTACCTTACCTCCTGCTGGATTGCCCAGCCATCTCCCTGGTTCCCTGTTCCCACCCCTCCCCTGCCTGAACCCTTCCTGAAGCTCCATCCCACTCGGGAAAGACCTTGCTGTGGCTCACAAGGCTCTACCCAGTCTCCCAGCACTAGCCTGTGTTGCTTACCCAGCTGTCCTCTCGCTCGCCCAGCCTTAGTTTACCCCCAGCTGCCCCTTTTTCAGAGCACAGGTCCTCTTTGGACAAGGCCTCACTCAGTGAGAACTTGACTAACGGTTCCTCAGAGCCTCTGAGCCTGTCTTTATTTCCTCTCAGAACTTAAGTCTGCCCTGCAGACCTTGGGTGGACCTGGTTTATTGACAGTCACCTTTCCCTAGTGTGAACCCTGCAGAGCTGTGGGTTAGGCAGACTCCACCTCAGTTGTCACTCAAATGGACTGATAGGCAGGTGAAGGCTAGTAGCTATGATAGGTCACTTACAAGTGGGGGTGGGCTGGTGAGGGGGAACCAGGTACCATCTAGAAGTTCCAAGGACTCCCTGGAAGAAGTGGGACCAGAGGGAGAGGCTGGGGAGAGTGGGGAGCATTAAGGTTACATAGATAGGAGCTGTGGACTGACAGCAGAGCTGACTGGGAGGAAGTAGGCATGGGCTCAAGGCAGGAACCACACACCACCACCCCGTTGTCAGCTCAGTCCTGAAAAGCAGAGGGTGCACTGAGGTAGGGAGGGCTCTTTTGGAGCTGGTGGCTCATTCCTTATGGGAGTATGGGAGGAGCATTTGCCTCTCAGTAAAGGTTGGAGTAGAGCAAGGGGTGCAGGGGGTAACTGGAAAATGTGAATATCCCACAGCTTGAAGAAGTCAAGACATTAAAAAAAGAACAAAGCTGAAATAAGCATTTCAAAATATAGTACAGTTTTGGTGCACATCTTTAATCCTAGCACGGGGAGACAGAGGCAGGTGGATCTGTGAGCTCAAGGCCAGCCTGGTTTACAGAGCGAGTTCTAGGACAGCCAGAAACCCTGTCGCAAACAAAACAAAAAACCAAATGTGTATTACAGTTTTTAGTATGTGTCTTTGGCTGGGTGGAGCTGCCTGTCATACTGCTCCATCTGTCTGTCTTACTAGTCAACCCTTTACATTTAGGGTCCAGTAAGATACTCCCAACACTGGCTCAGAATAGCCCCTACCCTGAGGCTTCTGGGAGCCAGGGGGCTTGTGTGGTGACTTCCCAGGGCCACAGGTCCCTCATGATAGTGATGGCCATGTCAGCACTAGAGCAAAATGAAGTCCATTTGTGACAGGGATGGGTTTTCAGGCATCTTTTCTGTGCTCAGCTGTCTTACCAAAGGTCCTGGGAGGGGTGGCCAGGAGGCCCATTCCCCATGGGACCAGGACAGCCTTGGTAGGAGGTGCAGTCCAACCCCTGCAGTGCCAGCGCAGGAGAAGAGAGGCAAGGTCTGGAGCCAGGGAGGTAGAGGCAGCATGGTGGTCAAGCCCAGGCTGTGGTGCTTCCCAGGTTCAAATCCTGGCAGCCTCTCACTGGCTGAGTACCTGGACAGGGGATTTCTTTCTGGAGTCTCAGTTTCCTTCCAGACAACTGGAATGAGGACTGTGCAGGTGGCATGGGACTGGGCACCGCAGTCAGGGTCTGCCTATGCCAGAAGGAGGGGCCACAGGCCCTGGAAGGCATCCTGCTCTGATGTCTACCCTGACTTTGCCCCTGGCTAAGTGAGGACCCTCTGCCTCGCTTTTCTTATTTAAGGCATGTGTTCATGGCCTCTTCTGGATCAGGAGCAAAGGTTGAGGGATGCTGGGTAAAGTGGTTCAAAGAGAAGTGGCACACAGTAGGTGCACATTCCTGCTGCCTACTGTCTTCGCCATGGTGATCAGGGTTGAGCACTCCTAGCTTTGGTGCTAGAGGCTCTGGGCCATTCCCTAGGGCCATGCTTGTTTTGTATTCTTCATGACTCCTTGTAAAAGCTGCTGGAAGCAGCTACTGTCATCACCATCTTAACGAGGAAACTGAGGCCTGACTGAGGCACTCTTTCCCTGGGGTCCCACACTGAGCTTCCTAGCATGAGCTGTGGGCTGGGTCTTCACAGATAGAAAAATTAGGTCATGCCGTGCTAGCTAGCCTCAATGGGTTTTGAGGCCTGGGCTGCAGAACTCTGAAGTTCCTAACCCACAAGGTCAGGAGCTGCCTATGAGAGCCTGGGTGTGGCCTACACCAGGTCTTTATAAACATGGCCAGTTCCTCTGTTTGTCCTTCCCTCCATATGCTGCCCAAAGGAAGGGGTGGCCCAGGCAAATATCCGGAGGTGTGCCCTTCCGCCTTCTGCAGGGTCACAAGTGGCTGCAGTGTGCTAGGGGGCTTGTAGGTTATGGGTGGGGTCTGTGTGTGGGAGCACAGGAAGGCACTGCCCCATCTCCCCCACTTTTCCATCCTGAGCGCCTCCCTAGGTTTGGTGAGAGATCACAGTCTGGGAACTGCCTTGGGCTGCCTGGGTGTGGGACGGGGGAGCACAGAGTAGAGCCAAGAGTTCAAGATAGGGAGCAAGCTAGACACCAGGTCACAGCGCCTGCCTCCACACCGTGCCAGGCAGCATGAGGTGTGCCTCTGTTGGGGTTGTAGAGACAGGTCTAGCTTCATGGAGGCCCAGGAAGGGGTCTGGGTAGTCTTGGTGCAGAGGTCAAGGTGATAGGGATGGGCCAGGCAGGAAAGGCTGGGAGGAGGGGTACATGGTGCTGTACGGATAGAGAAGACTGGAAGCCAGAGATGCCCATTCTGCCCCAGCTGTCCCAACCCTTAGCCAGAACCTCTGGACCAGCTGGGAAAACCCTGTCCAGACCTAGGGCTAGCCACCTGCTGGCCTCTTGGGATCAGTTGAGACAGGCTGGCTGCTGAGTGGTCCCCCCCCCCTCCACACACACACACAACCTGCCTCTCACTTGGCTGTGCTGCCAAACCGGTTTCCCTGGCTTCCTGCCCATTAATGTCCTTGTGGGCTGAGCTAGTGGCTCCCAAAGAAAGAGAACTGTGCCAGAAGGTGGGGCTCCCTGAACACTTCCTCAGCTAGGGCTGGGGCTGGGTGCTGGCCCTGTACCTCCCTCAACCCTGTCAGGTACTGGGAAGCCAAGTTGGAGGAAGATGGAAGTCCTCTGTGGCACACTTTGGTTCTTTGGGCCTCCATTCATGGGCGACTCTATAGGAAGCCTCCCGTTGGCCATCCCTCCGTGGCTGGTAGCACTTTGTCAGCCCAGTCCCTGCCCGTGTGCTCTGCCACTATCTAGGGACCGGTCTGTCTGTCCCACATGGACACCTGAGTGGGTCATAGGTTGTCATCATCTCCCACACTAGCCAGCCAGGGTACAGAGGGGGTTAGTGAATGAATCGGTGATGGTCTTTTTTTCCTTTCTTGCAGATGATTAACTCAAAGCCCCAGGAGGAGACGTCACCCACGCAAGGGTGTTTTTAGTCCAGCCAGCTTCAGACCAGGTCTGTGCGACTGCAGGGCTCCTTCCGTAGGCCAGTCTTCCTGGCATGAGGGGTAAGAGAGAGGGGCAGAGGAAGGGGTGGCTTCCTCTGTAGGGTGCTGCCATCATCCTCTCCTCCAGCTGGAAAGGAACCTAGGGCCTCCTGCTTACTGCGCAGAGCTCCACCGCTGAGCTACAGCCCAGACCTTTTGTATTTTATTCTGAGTCCCTCTCAACAATTGTCCAGAGTAGCCTGAATTCACTCTCCACCCTAGGAGAGCTTTGAGCTTGCCGCCCTCCTGCCTCCTGCATAGCTGAGACAGCAGGACTGATGCCAGCCTGTGGCCCTGGCCGGGCTCATCCTTGGACTCATTGTCGTTGGTATTATTTGCTTTTAATTTATTTTTTAAAAATTATTAGTTTTTAATTTTATGTGGGTGTTTTGCCTGCATATAATCTGTGCATCATGTGTTCCTGGTGTCCAGATCAGAAGAGGGCATCAGATTCCACTGGAACTGGAGTTACAGACAGTTGTGAGCCACGGTGTGGGTGCTGGGAATTGAAACCAGGTCCTCGAGAAGAGCAGTCAGTGTTCTTACCTGCTGAGCCTTCTCTTCAGCTTCCCATCCCTGTTTTTGAGACAGGATCTCTCTATGTAGTCCTAGCCTAGAATTTAGTATGTAGACCTGGCCTTGAACTCACAGAGATCCACCTGCCTCTCCCTCCAAGTACTAGGATTAAAGATCTGTGCCACTATGCCTGGCTCAAGGCTTTTATTTGTGGCTGGTACTATCTAAGTGCCCAATTGAAGACCCAGGCCCTAAATATAGGGTAATGTCACATTGTGGAGGGGCATCCCTTGTGTCTATAGCCACTGGTTGTGGTGACCAGACTGGAGGTGGGGACTGCTCACACTGGCATACTCACAGTGTACCAGGCCCAAGGCTGGACCAGGAGGGCTGTGTGACTGAGCTAGTTTAGGCACTGTTAGCACGAGAGAAGTGGAGACAAAAGACACTGCGCACACAGGTTCCCGTGGGTGGAGGACGTCTGAAGGTGATGTGATGGCCGGTAGGCTATGTGGTTGTGGGGCGCGGTGATAACTGAAGGAGGAAAGGGAGGGAGCTCGGGGAATAATAGGGAAAGGTGTCCCAGCCCTGAAGTATGAAAGCTTATGGGAAATGTGGAATGGGCTGCATGAGGTCTCTGGCCACAAGAAGGGTGCTAGCTGTAGCTGTGAGTAGGAGGCAGCTGAGTCTGACCCGCTAGCTCAGCAGTTCTCAACCTGTGGGTCGCAACACCTCTGGGCTTGATTGACCCTTTCACGGGGGTCACCTAAGACCATCCGAAGACACACATTACAGTTCATAACAGTAGCAAAATTACAGTTATGAAGTAGCAACAAAAATAATTTTGTGGTTGGGGTCACTACAACATAAGGAACTGTAATTTATTTAGTTAGTTATTTTTGTTTTTCAAGACAGGGTTTCTCTGTGTCTCTTTGGCTGCCCTGGAGCTCACTCTGTAGACCAGGCTGGCCTCGAATTCACAGAGATCCACCTGCCTCTGCCTCCCTAGTACTGAGGTTAAAGACGTGCATCACCACCGCCCAGCTGAGGAACTGTATTAAAGGGTCTCAGTGCTAGGAAGGTTGAGAACCACTCCTCTGGTTGCTGGTGAGGAACCCACAAAAGTAGAGGGCTCAGGAAGAGACTACTGCCCCCTGCTGGTATTTGGGAGAGAGAGCTGCTGAACCTGTCAGGGCAGAGACAAAGTGACAGACCACCTGCCTCTGGTCCCACCTCCCTTGGCTTCCCTCCTGCAGGTGCCTGTGAGAGTCCAAGCCACCCACGTTCGCACACTTGCTGTGCTAGGGCCCTGGAACCATGTTTGGAAAGAAGAAGAAGCGGGTGGAGATCTCGGCCCCATCCAATTTTGAACATCGTGTGCACACGGGCTTTGACCAGCATGAGCAGAAGTTCACAGGACTGCCCCGCCAATGGCAGAGTCTGATTGAGGAGTCAGCACGCCGACCCAAGCCCCTCATCGACCCCGCCTGCATCACCTCCATCCAGCCTGGCGCCCCCAAGGTAGCCATCACCATTCCTACCCCACAGCCATGCTGCCATAGCGGCCCAACCCTTCAGTCTTGGCCTCCTTACAGAACCATCTCTGTAACTTAGTGCCAGCCTTCCACCCACCAGCCCCATCCAGGAAGTCCATGCTGGCCCCAGCACCACACACTCAACCATGGTCTCCCCAGTGCTTCTGACGTAGAAGACAGCCCCCTTCCAGACAGCTGCATCCCAAGGGCTGAAAGGGAGCAGCTGAGGCAAGTGGGAGCAGGAGAGAAGCTGTGGTCCCAGTGAGGCGCCACTGTCATTCAGTTTTGTGGGGCTTTTCCCTGTCATCCTGAGCAAAATGGCAGAGCTGAAATGGGACCTGAGGTCTGAATCCAATATCTCTCCCTACCCTTCCTCCACCTCCATGTGCAGTGAGAAATTGTGGTCTTCTTGCCCGGCACAGGCTGTAGCCACACAGGCCTAGGGATAAGAATGCCCCTGCTGGGCCTACTGAAGCCAACTTTGGAGCTGGATTCAGTCCACGGGTGGTGGGGCCCAGGGGTGGGTAGAGTTGGGTGTTCCTGTGGTCAGCAGTCTGGGTGCCTGGCACTGCAGCTGACTCATCCTCTCCCAGCCACCAGCCCAGGCCTGGCAGGAAAGAGGCAGAATCAACAGGGTGTCCACGGCCACAGTGCTTGGGCCCAGGCGGGCATCTTGTTGTTTCTGTAGCCCTTGCAGGGTCATGTGAGAGCCTCACCTTCTCTCCATTGCTTGAAAAGCCCCTCTTGTGATCTGACTCTATGTGGACTTCTCATGTATGACCCGGGCCAGCTGGGAGCCAGCAACTGCCTCTGAAGCAGCCCTGCATTTCTGGTTCTGGTCCCCAGACAGCCCACCCCAGGCCCTCCCATGGCCCATGGGACTCTGTAGCCATTTCTCACAGGTTATATCCATGCTAGATGTCCCCAAAATTTCACCCCGCTCCTTGCAGCCTCCATCCCTCCACACCTCCACTTCAGCCTGCAATGGGATGACACTGGCCCTGATTCACATGCGGACACGACCCCAAGTCTAATTCCAAAGCCTGGCAGGTGTCCACTGAATGAAAAAAGAAATAAAAAGGAGGGCATGACTGCTGCCAGGTGTGGTGGGGAGAATGTTCGTTGTAGATTTGAGGGAGAGCATAGCCAGAGTGGACATGCCTGGGCCATGTGAGGAGAGCGGGAGGAGAGAGCCAGGAGACCAAGCGGCCAGGAGGGTGAAAAGTAAAAAAGGTAAAAAGGCCGGCTCAGCCCAAATGGCTGGATTATCTAGGGAAGGGCAGCTGGGGGAAGGACTGCCCAGCCCCTGGGCTGGAGAAGTTTAGGGTAGGGGGCAGGGTATGGCAGCCAGAAGGACCCTGTAAGAGGTAGGCAGTGAGGGATGCTGGGAGAACCTGGTAGCCAGGTCAGCTTCTGGGTGTTAAATAGTAACCTCAGCTATTTGTCTGGGGTTTGAGACCTAGCATCCACTTTTCTTTCTTGGCTCCCTGCACAAGGCCAGGCCTCCGTCAGGCAGGCAGGCAGGCAGGGCCCCAGACAGGCTGGAACCACAGGTTGTTCCTGTGAACTCAGCATACCCTCCATCTATTAGAGGCCATCCAGGTCCTGTCTCTGCCTGCCACCTGGGGGCAGTGGTGGGACAGCTCCCCAACCTCCGTGTGTGTGTGTGTGTGTGTGTGTGTGTGTGTGTGTGTGTGTGTGTGTGTATCTGTCTGTCTGTGTGTCAGTGTGGTGTGTGTGTGTGGTGTGTGTGTGTTCTGCTTCCCTCCTCCCTTCCTCCCAGCTGATGAAGGCCGAGACATAGCATAGGTGGGACCCTAAATAGCAGCAAGAGCACTCAGTCCTTGGAAGCTAACGGGGTACAGCAGCCTGGTGGGTGCACAGCCATGTCAGCTGGCACTAAGGGCCCACAGGGAAGAAGGAAAGAGCCAGAGATCTGTGGGGCTAGCATTTAAGCTAGGAGTTAGAGAGGCCTCAGAGACCTGGCAGAGGGAGTGAGGCCGCAGTGGAGACGTTTGGAAGATGTAGGTTGTGGGCAGGACAAAAAGCTGCTGGGTGCATGTCTGGTGTACTGGGAAAACCGAAGAAGCTGTGTGCCTGGGGCTGAGAGTATAGAGGAAACATGGTGGCCACAACTCAGTAGGGGCAGGGACGTGTGAGGGCTGGTGGTTCAGGGCATATTCCAGTTGATATTTGCCACACAGCTCCCAGGCCTCCTGGCCTTGACTTTAGGCTGTGGGCTTTCTATTCTACACCCCTCCTTTGCCCTAGGGGATCACAGTGCATGGTTTGAGGGTTAATGATGCTGGCAGCCTGCAAGAGAGGAAGTGCTGAGCCAAGTGGCCTGTAATTTGCAGCTTTTGTGGGTTGATTACAGGCTGTGTTTACTTCCCTCGCCCCAGTCCACAGGGCAGAACCTGCCATCAGGCTGGGAGCCAAGGAAAGTCAAGAGGCACTTGGGGGAGACCCCAGAGCGGGTGATGGGCCTGAGAGCAGTTCTTGGGGCACTGTAAGGTCCCTGTCACCCCACCTCATCGTCACCACACCATCACATCACTCGTCTCTGTCTTGTTTTCGTGTTGTATTGTCTTGTTTCTGTGTCGGATGCCACCTGTGTTCCCTCCTTCCTGGCCTTACCCTGCCATTGCCTGGACCCCAGACCATCGTGCGGGGCAGCAAAGGCGCCAAGGATGGGGCCCTCACGCTGCTGCTCGACGAGTTTGAGAACATGTCGGTGACGCGCTCCAACTCCCTGCGCAGAGACAGTCCACCACCACCTGCGCGTGCCCACCAAGAGAATGGAGTGCTGGAGGAGCGGGCAGCCCCAGCCAGAGTGGCCGCAGACAAGGCTGGAGGAAGAACCCGGGCCACAGGCCACAGCGAGGCAGGCAGTGGTGACAGGCGGCGTGCGGGGCCGGAGAAAAGGCCCAAGTCTTCGAGGGAGGGCCCAGGAGGGCCCCAGGAGGCCTCCCGAGATAAGCGCCCTCTCTCGGGGCCTGATGTTAGCACCCCCCAGCCTGCCAGTCTGGCCAGCGGGGCGAAACTAGCAGCTGGCAGACCTTTTAACACATACCCACGGGCTGACACGGACCACCCACCCCGGGGTGCCCAGGTAACCCCTCCCCAACTTCAGCATCTCAGTGTCCTCTTCCCTTGCTTCCCTTTCCCCAGCCGCATCCCAGTTCCTTGTGCCTTTCTCATCCTGACCGTGCATGTCTGTCATCCAGCTGGGGAGCTAATGCAGCCTCCACTCATAACACCTCCTTTCTTCCTTTGCAGGGGGAGCCACACAACGTGGCCCCTAATGGGCCATCAGCCACGGGCCTGGCTGCCCCTCAGTCTACATCATCCTCCCGGCCTCCCACCCGAGCCCGTGGTGCTCCCAGCCCAGGCGTGCTGGGCCCCCATGCCTCTGAGCCCCAGCTGGCTCCCCCAACACGTGCTCTTGCTGCCCCTGCTGCACCCCCTGCCCCTGGGCCCCCTGGACCCCGCTCACCACAGCGGGAGCCCCAGCGAGTGTCCCACGAGCAGTTCCGGGCTGCTCTGCAGTTGGTAGTGGACCCAGGGGACCCACGTTCCTATCTAGATAACTTCATCAAGATTGGTGAGGGCTCCACAGGTATTGTGTGCATAGCCACCGTGCGCAGCTCAGGCAAACTGGTGGCTGTTAAGAAGATGGACCTACGCAAGCAGCAAAGACGTGAACTGCTCTTCAATGAGGTAGACACAGTCCGGGAGCCCAGCACTGTCCTCCCCTCATACCTGTCCCCACCCAGCCCAAGGCTCCTGTCTGTGCCTTTGTCCCACTAAGTGCCCATGACCCAGGCTGACATGTTCAACTAGCCCTGTGTTCTCCCTTCCAGACCGCTTCTCTCACAGTCCCTGTCTCTGGGAAACCCATCATACCTCACTCTGGACCACAACCCAGTCCCCAGTCCCCCTTTCTCCAGTCTCCCCTGGACATTCTGTAGGTGACATCCAAGAGAGGATTCTGACACTGAAGCCTTCACAGGCCTTAGTGTGTCTCCGTAGTCTAGCCCTGTTGTTGCTGTTGCTGTCTTACTCTTCGGCTCTTTTACTCCTTGTTGTTTGGGGGGGGGGGCTGCCACTCAGCTCCCAGATAAAACACATGGAGGCTTATCCTCTCATAATTATGAGTGCCGGCCTTAGCTGGGCTTGTTTCTAACCAGCTTTTATTAACGTAAATTATCCTGCCTACCTTTTACCTTTGGGCTTTTTCCTTTTCTTACTTCTGTATGTCTTACGTTCACGCTTACTCTGTGGCTGGCTGGGTGATTGGTCCCTAGTGTCCTCTCCCTGTTCTCTTCTTGCTCTTCCTCTCAGATTTCTCCTCCCATGTATCCTCTCTGCCTGCCAGCTCTGTCTATCCTTTCTCCTGCCTTGCTATTGGCTGTTCAGCTCTTTATTAGACCAATCAGGTGGTTTAGACAGGCAAAGCAACACAGCTTCACAGAGTTAAAACAAATGCAACATAAAAGAATGCAGTCCATCTTTGCATCATTAAACAAATGTTCCAGAGCATAAACAAATGTAACACATTTTAAGCTAATATTCCACAGCACAGCCTCTTGCCCTGTTATAGCCTATTCCCGTCTAGCCCACAGCTAAGCGCTTGGTTCAACCCCACTTCTGATTCTGAGTGTCAGCATCTTGGCATCCAACACAAAGGCAGAGAGGAGTGTATGTAGGATTGACAGGTCCCTCCTGTCAATAGGAGGCCCCAGGTCCCCTCGGAGGCTGTCCAGCTGCTTGTCTATCTCCTAGCTCTTCCTCCCCAACCTTCACCTGTTCTCACACCACATCCCAGTGCTCCATCCACACCAGGAATTCCTTGTTATGCTAAACTGGTCCTTGTAAGCATAGTATTCCCTACCACACCCTCAGCTCCTAGACCTTTCCCTCGCCAGTCGGTCCTTCGTCTAGCTCTCCATTCACCTTCCCCTGCACATACACCTTTTAATTTAGCTTTTCTTCTTACCTGCTTGTCCTCTTTTCCTCTGCGTCCCCCTGATGGTCAGGACACTCAAAGACCAGCCAGGACCAATCAGGATTAGAGAACCTGCATGGTGGGATGGGGATCAGGGTGTACTCCTAGAATGGAGGGGTATGCCTCAGGCTGCCTTCAAGGTATTTTTGACTTTGGAGAAGGGGACAGCTGGAGTGATCCAGTTTGCCCCAGTGCAGCCTGCTAGAAGGCAGTGAGGCTGGCTGGCGCCAGCTGTAGAAAGAGAGCCAATGCCCAGGGTCCCATACTGGCTCTGCCCTGCGCAGGTGGTGATCATGCGGGACTACCGGCATGAGAACGTGGTGGAGATGTACAACAGCTACCTGGTGGGCGACGAGCTCTGGGTGGTCATGGAGTTCCTGGAGGGAGGCGCCCTCACTGATATTGTCACCCACACCAGGTACTACTGGGCAGCCTGCTGGCTCGTGTGCTCCCAGGGGTGGAGCTGGGACCCTTCAGCCTCTGGTAATAGACAAGTCCCTCCAGAGTGTGGGTGGGGCAGTGAAGTCAGGCTCACAGGATGGGGGTCATCTTAGCTCCCCCAACCCCTATTGAGGCAGGTCCTTGTGACCTCTTCATGTCCTGAAGCAGAGTAGGGACCTCTCAGCTCCCCACCCTCACCCCAGGGCTGGACGTTCCCAGCAGGGCCCTGTCTGCCCAGTTGCTCCTTCTTCCCACGCAGGATGAACGAGGAACAGATTGCCGCCGTGTGCCTGGCTGTGCTCCAGGCGCTGTCTGTGCTCCACGCCCAGGGCGTCATCCACCGGGACATCAAGAGTGACTCCATCTTGCTGACCCACGATGGCCGGGTAAGTGGGAGAGTGGCTAGATGTGGGAAGTGGCTTTTGTCATTTCTTTTGCCTTTCAAGACAGTTTCTTTGTGTAGCCCTGGCCATTCTGGAGCTCCTGTTCTGTAGACCAGGCTGGCCTTGAACTCAGAGACCTGCCTGCCTCTGCCTCCCAAGTGCTGGGATTAAAGGCCTGCGCCACCAAGGCCCAACAGCTTTTCATCTTTTTGACAGAACAGCTTGAAGGAGAAAAGTGTTGCATTGTGTTTTGTTTCTGAGCATTTCAGAGGTTTCAGTATCAGTCCATCATGGTAGAGTAGACTGGAGCCAAGCAGCTCCGGTCTTAGTGGCCAGGAAGCAGAAGAAAACTTGTGCCAAGGTCTCCTTCCCTTCATTCAGCCTATAGAGCAGAGCCACCCAAATGCAGGGAGCCCTTGCCCCAGTTAATCCTCCCTGGAAATGTCCTCAAGCACCCCAAAGCAAGACACCTCTCAGCCTTCTCCAGCCGACCGTCACCATCACAGCCAGAGCTGGGGTCCCTGCCCTGCCCTACCCCCCCACTCCCCCCACCCCCACTCTCTCCCCACTCCCCCCACCCCCACCCCCCGCTTCTGCTGCTGCTAGGGTGGCAGCTGAGCCTTTGTTTGGTGACTAGGAGAACAACTGACTGACCTGTTCCTCACAACAGCCCAGAGAAGGGTCCAGATTGGTGGAGAGCACCGCCCTGACAGAACTGGAAGTTAGAGACCTGCCCGGGACCAGAGAAGAAGGGCTGAGGCAACAGCCCTTCTAGCCAGGCAGCTGGCCTGGAACTTGCTGTGTAAACTTGGCGGCCTTGAGTTCACAGAGACCCTGGCTTTTGTTTGTTATTTGAGACAATGTCTTCTGTGTCTCCCCACTGCCTGGTACCTGCTACACTGCCCCAGGCTGGTTTCTCCTGCTTCAGACTCCAAGAGATTAAGGGCCTGCGCCACTGTCTCTTCCTCCAGACAGGACCCCCCCAGGGCCTTGTTGTCCTGGCCCTCAACTACTGGACACCTGTGCCAGGTTTGCTGTGCACTGAATGTCGACCTCCTTCCTGGTCCTTGTGTCATCCTGAGTGCCTCCCTCATGTTAGCAAGCCAGATAACAATCTGAACCTGTGGTGTGAAGCTGACTTTGCTGGCTTCCCCTCTTTAAACTGAGGTCTTGACTCTGAATCTGGGGCCATGGTTGAGTCAGGTAGTACCCATAGTCTGAGGGACATGAGTTCTGGGGGCCAGAAGAGCCATACACATCAAGAGTCCAGAAAGGCCCACGGCCCCAAGAGGATGTGAGTCCTAGCTACTAGTTATGGCAGAGGTGCG